AGGTGCTTTGGCCGGCTCGGTGGGAAGGTGCTTCGGCCGGCTCGGTGGGGAGATGATGGGTAGGTGCTTTGGCCGGCCGGTGGGTAGGTGCTTTGGCCGACTCGGTGGGGATGGGGTGGGTAGGTGCTTTGGCCGGCTCGGTGGGGATGTGGTGGGAAGGTGCTTCGGCCAGCTCAGTGGGGAGGTGCTTCGGCTGGCTCGGTGGGGAGGTGGTGGGTAGGTGCTTCGGCTGGGTCGGTGGGGTGGTGCTTCGGGCAGCTCGTTGGGGACGTGATGGGTATGTGCTCCGGCTGGCTCGGTGGGGAGGTGCTTCGGCCGGCTCGGTGAGGAGGTGGTGGGTGGGCGCTTCGGCCAGCTCGGTGGGGAGGTGGTGGGTAGGTCCTTCAGCCGGCTCGGTGGAGAGGTGGCAGGTAGGTGCTTCGCCCGGCTAGGTGGGGAGGTGGTGGTTAGGTGCTTCGGCCGGCTTGATAGGGAGGTGGTGGGTAGAGACTTTGGCCGGCTCGGTGGGGAGGTGGTGGGGAGGTGGTGGGTAGGTGCTTCGGTCGGGTCGGTGGGGAGGTGCTTCGGCAGGCTTGGTGGGAAGGTGGTGCGTAGGTGCTTCGGCGGGCTCGGTGGGGAGGTTGTGGGTAGGTGCTTGGGCCGGCTCGGTGGCGAGGTGCTTCGGTCGGCTCGGTGGCGAGGTGGTGGGTAGGTGTTTCGGCCGGCTCGGTGGGGAGGTGGTGGGTAGGTGCTTAGGCTGGGTCGGTGGGGAGATGCTTCGACCGGCTTTGTGGGGAGGTGGTGGGTAGGTGCTTCGGTCGGGTCGGTGGGGAGGTGGTGGGTAGGTGTTTTGGCCAGCTCGGTGGGGAGGTTGTGGGTAGGTGCTCCGGCCGGCTCGGTGGGGAGGTGGTGGGAAGGTGCTTTCGCCAGCTCGGTGGGCAGGTGGTGGGTAGGTGCTTTGGCCAGCTCGGTGGGGAGGTGGTGGGTAGGTGCTTCGGCCGGCTCTGTGGGGAGGTGGTAGGTAGGTGCTTTGGCCGGCTCAGTGGGGATGTGGTGGGTAGGTGCTTCGGCCGGCTCGGTGAGGAGGTGGTGGATAGGTGCTTCGGCCGGCTCGGTTGGGAGGTGGTGGCGACGTGCTTCGGCCGGCTCGGTGGGGAGGCGGTGGGTAGATGCTTCGGCCGGCTCGGTGGGGAGGTGTTGGGTAGGTGCTTCGACCGACTCGGTGGGGAGGTGGTTGGTAGGTGCTTCGGCCGGCTTTGTCGGGAGATGGTGGGTAGGTGCTTCGGCCGGCTTGGTGCGGAGGTGGTGGGTAGAGACTTCGACCGTCTCGGTGGGGAGGTGGTGGGTAGGCGCTTTCGCCGGGTCGGTGGGGAGGTGCTTCGGCAGACTCGGTGGAGAGGTGGTGGGTAGGTGCCTCTGTCGGCTCGGTGGGGAGGTTGTGGGTAGGTGCTTTGGCCAGCTTGGTGGGGAGGTGCTTCGGCCGGCTCAGTGGGGAGGTGGTGGGTAGGTGCTTCGGCCGGGTCGGTGGGGAGGTGGTGGGTAGGTGCTTCGGCCAGCTCGGTGGGGATGTGCTTAGGCCGCCTCGGTGGGGAGGTAGTGGGTAGGTGCTTACACCAGCTCGGTGGGGAGGTGTTGGGTGGGTGCTTCGGCCGGCTCTGTGGGGAGGTGGGGGGTAGGTGCTTTGGCCGCCTCGGTGGGGATGTGGTGGGTAGGTGCTTCGGCCGGCTCGGTGGGGAGTTCGTGGGTAAGTGCTTCAGCCGCCTCGGTGGGGAGGTGGTGGGTAGGTGCTTTGGCCGGCTCGGTGAGGAGGTGGAGGGTACGTGCTTTGGCCGGCTCGGTGGGGAGGTGGTGGGTAGGTGCTTCGGTCGGCTCGGTGGGGAGGTGGTGGGTAGGTGCTTCGATCGGCTCGATGGGGAGGTGCTCCGGCCGGCTCAGTGGGGAGGTGGTGGGTAGGTGATTCGGTCGGGTCGGTAGGGAGGTGCATTGGCCGGCTCGGTGCGGAGGTGGTGGGTAGGTGCTTCAGCCGGCTCGGTGGGGAGGTGCTTCGGCC